TCGGGCGTCCACGTCCTCTCTTTAGTTATGACCACATCAAAGCGCATTCGTTCATACTTTGTGGCCTTGGTTGGTAGGTCCCCCAAATATTATCAAAACGTCAAAATTACGAGTGGGACTCGAATTCCCGCACAGTAGTCATCCATCAGTCATACACTGGAACCACTGCACTGTCGGATCCTGTGATCATCTTCTACAAGTGCAGCCACAAGCCAAGCCCTAACTTGAGCTAAAAAGTCAAGTTCAAGCCCGCATGCTCTAAGTGTGGCTAGGAAGAACTTGATGAAGTGTCAATTTCTGGCGGGGATCGCCCAGCTCTTCCAGACCCCTAAAATTGGAGCAACCATCCTCTCGGAGCGCTCTGGAAGAATTGGTCAGCAGGTTTCGACTTTTCTAACTGTCTCGCTTCGCTTTCCTGTCACCAGCGCCCAATGTTCTTATATACGAGAGGAGCGTGAGCGCTTTCCTGAACCACAAGTGCGATTGTTTCTTGGAAGTTTAGCTGGAAAAATGCCTACCTCATTATCCTCCCCAGGCCACTTGAAGTAGTTGGTCGGCGAGTTTACCGGGCCCACCTTTTCTATATGCCTTGATTTGTTTTCCTATCGCCAGCGCCCGTTGTCCTGAGATTGACTAGAAGAGTGGGAGCACCCTCCTCAGCCGAAACCGTGCCTATTCCTTTGAAAGCCGGATCAAATCGAGAGCGTAATATGGGTATCGCCCCCTCATATTCCGAAGAAAAACGTGCTGAGCGCAGTTCTGCGGAGTGTTTGAAAAAGCAGCCGAAAAAGTTGGGTGTTTCGAGAAGGCTATTAGCAGAATGGTCCGGAATCAGCTCCTCGTCCAGCTCTACCAGTTTTGGGCGTCGTTAAGAGTGCAGCGTTGACGAATTCTCGAATGGCGCCGAGTGGGCTAAAAACCTGCTCTCTAAAGCTGTTTCATTAGAAAGAACTCCTTAGCCATGAAAGTTTCACTCGAAGCCCGGGCAAATCTACCCAAAAGTTAACCGCTGTATGTCCACCCCCCCCCACCCTGCAAGCTCCTGGTAACTTGGTTAACTTTTTTCTTGCTGACTCCAGAAGCTGACTTGCCTCATTTCCATTATTTGGCTCATGAACAGGTCTATATTCGGGATGTAGGAGTATTTCAGCGCCAAACTTCAGTGAAAGCCTAATGCATGGCGCATTCCAGCTCAAATCGTAATCTTTACTCTTCAAGGGTTGTCTACCTCAAAAGCTCAGCCCATGAATAGTAGGGCATGAGAGCCATGGAAACTGTTTCTTTCCCCTGTCGGCTTGTAAGGCTTGTTCGGCAGAATAAAACCCCTGACTTTGATATCAACCCATTTACCACTGCATGAGTCAATTACCTACCCAAATACTCACACAATTTTGGGCGACTTTTGGGGACATGGCGCTTCTTGAGACAGAGTAGCCTACGACGAACACTTTATCCCTTTTCCTTTTTTGCTTTTTAGATGACAACGTTGACCCTACCCTCCCCCCTCCTTTCTCCTTAAATGAC